AAAATCCGTTGCGTAGTTTTAAAGATCTAAGCATACATAGGGACAGACAGCGGGGGAAATGCGTTGCATGATTTCGTTACATAGCAACTCGCATGAAACGAGCTTACCCTACCGTGCGTAAAGAAGTTTCACTTCAAAAACATATTTAACGTGTAAATGGTTTTTGTTTTATGAAAGTATTATTATATATATAGAATAGACATGTGTTATTATTATTATCCAATAATGAATTATTTATTTATCAGAAATTATGGGTTATAAGTTAAGAACCATATAGTTTTGTACATTTTACAATAATTTGAGAGTTATTTGATGTACATTATTATCTCTTAACGTCTGATTAATGAATTTAATAGAGTTGATTAGTATTTTAAAGGCAGTTTAATTCTTTTTCTAGGATGTGCTGGAGCTAAGTATTTTGCAATTCTATTATGTCAAGACGATTGCAGGCTTTCATATTTGGATTTAAAACTTAACAGGATAGGAGAGGAAGGCGGAAAATTAATAACCGAAGCGTTAGTTAAAGGTGGTCATTTATTAAGAGAATTATGTTTAGCCGCATGTTGTTTGAGAAAAAGTAATTGGTCAATTGGAAAAATGATTGCCAAGAATAATGTGTTGCAGAGCCTTGATATAAGTAGTAACAGAATGGGTGAGGTAAATCTACACGAATACTTATTTATTAATAAATTGTATTGCACATTAAGATTTAATGAAAGTTATTAGGAACGTTTTTCGACCGAAACAAAGAAGACGTAAAGAAAACAAAATTGTTTTTAACAGAAAATAGCCAATAAATCTTAAGAAACGCCTGTTACTTAATTTGATTATAAATTAACACAAACAATGATTGAGATTGCGCATACGTTACATTAATTTTCATACACATGGGTGTACAATACTTAATACAATTACGTACAGACTTAATGTTATTTAACATAATAAGGGCCATAGCTACGGACGTAGATGATTTAATACATGTTCATGTATTCACCAACGCTCATTACGTAATGTTATGTTCCATACCCACGCGATGCATTCTTCGACGCGCATTCATAATGTATTAAGTTCTATACATATGCGATGCATTCTTCGACGCGCATTCAATAATGTTTTAAGTTCCATACACATGCGACGCATTCTTCGACGCGTGTTCAGGAATGTGCATTCGGTTATATACAGACTTGTCGTTATTTAGTATAACAAAGGCTATACTTACGGACGTAGACGACCTAATACATGTACGTGTATTCATCAGCACTCATCGACGTTAAGTTCCTTACACTGGTGATGCATTCTTCGACGCGTATTCAACAATGGATATTCAGTTACATATAGAATTGACGTTTTCAGCATAAGTAGAACCCTACCTACGGACGTAGATGACTTAATACATGTACGTGTATTCATCAGAGCTCATTAGTTAACGTTAAGTTCCATACACACTCGATGCATTCTTCGACGCGCATTCAAGAAAGTATGCGCATGTACATGTACGTGCATTCATTAATGCTTATTTAATAAAAATAACGTTACTTTGTATCTTAATGTGGATTAAAGTTTGGACTCCTGCATGTAATAAATGTACGTAATCGAATGTACATTGAAGAATGCATCGCGTACATGTATTACGCTATACACACACGTGTGTTATGGGCCTATATGTGTTCTGTAAACTGTCAGAAAAAGAAAAGAAGAAGCTTTTTTGTTACAACTGCAGACTTTGACTATAAAAACAACAATGTTATTTTTTATATATTGTAAATGTGCGGCATTACATCAAATTAGATAAATTTTAAGCAATTTGTCATTAGAATTAAGCAAAATATAAGGAAAACAAAAATTGCTTTCTTAGCATTACACTTGTAAGTATATATTTGACCATTGGTTTTTGAGTTAATTACTATGCACCTTTTACTCAAATATTTGGCATACTTCGTACACTTACTATTAGGTTCATGTTTGAACATGACAGAAAGTTGATTAATGAAACATAAAAAACATACATGAAAAGTAATTTTGCTTGGAAGTTGCCGCTTAAGTTTGCATTAAACGACATAGCAACGTGTAGATCATAAGAAAGCAATAAAAATGGAATTTAAAAATGATTACGAAATAAGTCATAATTTCCACGAAAACGCTATCTAATAATACAGTTTTTCTCTTTTCTTACGACTATCCGGTTGAAACTTATAAATAAATTTTGTTTAAAATTGTCATTTAAAAACAATTATGTTTAGAACTTTACGGCAATAATGTTTGAATACATAACATGTTGAATCAAAACCGCATTGTGTAAAATACTGTTTCTATATTTATTCACATAGCAAGTAAAAAACAAGAATATAAATAAATGTTGGAAATGTCCGAGGTGATTCATAAAATATAGGTTGCAATTTAAAATGGAATGTGACTTTTACCTTTAGTTTGTGATAGTAAAACACAACGTCCTAATGAAACGGAAAAAAATTAAACGATTATCATATAATAATAAATAAATAGACATACAAGACGATGTTTTTTTTTATAAGAATAGCTCATATGGTTTAGATGCTGTAAAAGGCCATATTGATCTGTATTAAATGCACAATGTATTTAAAAGAACTTAATTAGATAAGGTAATGCTGTATTGCTTAAAATCGCTTCGTAAATAATGGGTTATCCCTAAGAGACAGACATATACCATCCCGGACTTTTTTGTAGACCTTTTTAAGGTGTACAATACTGTAGTATACTATTTTGATCTATCTTGTAGGGTTCAGCCAGCGTTTGCAATATAAGCGCAAAAAAATGTGTTTATTTACGACATCACATTACAAACCTTTAAAATCATCAGTGTTTCTCTACTATATTATGTATATATGTATTATACATGTAAACCTTCCTCTTGAATTACTCTATCTATTAAAAACAACCGCATTAAAATCCTTTGCGTAGTTTTAAAGATCTAAGCATACATAGGGACAGACAGCGGGGGAAATGCGTTGCATGATTTCGTTACATAGCAACTCGCATGAAACGAGCTTACCCTACCGTGCGTAAAGAAGTTTCACTTCAAAAANTCCTGCTAAAACTTTAAAACTATTATATATAGTTTTAGGGATAAGCCTAAAATACTTCTCCAGTTATTAAGGTTTGAAGAGTGCTCCCTTTATCACTCACTCACTCACTTATCAAAAATTTGGACTACTTTTAGGTGGCTTAGAAACTTGAAAGTTGACATCAAGGAGCATATAAAGGTAAAACTCGGAAAAATTACAAAATTTTTCAAAAATGAATACCTATTTCTTAAATTTCTAATGCCTCTTTGAGGAACTTGAATGAACTTGGCTCCATTAGGGATAAGCCTAAAATACTTCTCCAGTTATTAAGGTTTGAAGAGTGCTCCCTTTATCACTCACTCACTCACTTATCAAAAATTTGGACTACTTTTAGGTGGCTTAGAAACTTGAAAGTTGACATCAAGGAGCATATAAAGGTAAAACTCGGAAAAATTACAAAATTTTTCAAAAATGAATACCTATTTCTTAAATTTCTAATGCCTCTTTGAGGAACTTGAATGAACTTGGCTCCATTTTGCACATTTATATTTTTCTGAAACGTGTATGAAAGGTAAAAATTTTCAAAAATTAATATAAATTAAAATAATAATAAATAGAATTGAATTGAACGTAACAAGTTCAATATTAATGAATGTAATTCGATTTCACCTTGTATAAGGAACTTGGCACCCATTCAGATGTCAATACTTTTATCGACAGTCAACAAGAATGTTTGTAATGAACTTGGCTCCATTGTGTACATTTATATATTTTTTTGAAACGTGCAAAAAAGGCAAAATTTTTCAAAAATGGATAAAGTAATTTAAAAATTAAAATTTCAATAAAACGAACGACGTTTGCGGTTGTCAATTAAAATCAAAAGAATTGAGATCTGAACGGGTTCCAAGTTCCACAGAAGCTGTAGCCGAATTACGTTATTTGATATTAAATTTAGGTATCGCAGGGTAAGTCGCAATAATCAATAGAATTGAGTTGAACGTAAGAAATTTAAAACACGCCAAGTTCAATATTAATGAATCTAATTCGATTTCACCTTGTATAAGGAACTTGGCACCCATTCAGATGTCAATTCTTTTATCGACAAGGTCAACAAGAATGTTTATATATATTTTAAGACGTGTAAAAAAGGTAAAATTTTTCTAAAATTAATACTTATTTCTTAAATCTTCTAATGCCTTTTCAAGGTATGCGAAATTGATGAAGCAGTTTAAAAATCAATGATATTTTAACTAAAACAACGACGTTTGCGTTTGTCAATCAATTAAAGAGTTGAGATCTGAATGGATGTCAAATTCCATAGAAGTTGTAGCCGAATTACTTTATTTGGTATATACGAGGGTGGATTGATAAGTTTCCGGCCTGACCAAGAAAAACAAGGTTTTTAAAAATTTTTTTTTTTATTTCTCAACATAATCTTCTCCAAGGCTGATACATTTCTCATAGCGGTGTTCCAGTCTATTAATGCCATCTCTATAGACTGATTCGTCAAGCTCCTCAAAATAACCATTTACAGCTTCGATTACTTCTTCATTGTCCGCAAATCTCTTACCGCCAAGCCATTTTTTGAGATTAGGGAACAGAAAATAGTCACTCGGGGCTAGGTCTGGAGAGTAAGGAGGGTGCGGCATAAATTCAAACTTTAGATCGTTGATTTTAGCCGTCGCAACGATTGACGTGTGCGCTGGTGCGTTATCGTGATGAAACAAGATTTTTTTCTTCGCCAGATGAGGTCGTTTAATTTTCACCTCGTGGCTCAAACGTTGCAATAAGTCTGCGTAGTATTGACCAGTGATAGTATTACCCTTTGCAAGGTAATCAATGTATATAATACCTCTTGCATCCCAAAAAACAGTAGCCATAACCTTGTTCGCCGAAAAAATTGTTTTTGCCTTCTTTGGAGTTGGTTCCCCTGGTCCAATCCACTGTTTAGACTGTTCTTTGGTTTCAGGAGTATAGTGGTGGACCCACGTTTCGTCAACGGTTACGAATCGACGCAAAAATTCGCTTGGATTACGCTTATACAATGACAAATTTGCGGTAGAAATGTTTTTTCGAATCAATTTTTGGTCGACTGTTAGCAAACGCGGCACCCATCTTGCACAGAGCTTTTCCATATGCAAATGTTGGTGCAAAATATGTTGCACACGTTCATATGACATCTTACAGGTCTCAGCTATCTCACGCACTTTCAATCTGCGGTCTCCCAGCACTATTTGATGAATTTTTTCGATCATATCTGGAGTTGTGACCTCAACGGGGCGTCCTGAGCGAGGCCCATCAGAGGTGCTCACACGACCCTTTTTAAACTCGGAAACCCACTGCTTAACGGTTGAATATGACGGGGAGGATGTCCCCAGTGTTGAGTCCATCTCTTTTTTAATTTCCTTCGGCGTTAACCCCTTCAAATAAAAGTATTTGATGACAGCACGATTTTCCTGCTTTTCCATTTTTACGAAAACCACAGAGGCGTCTTGTTCAGCGTGCTGTCAAACCTACACTAGCAAGGAGATCGGGCTGAAACTATAGCTACAAGCTATCCAAGGATGGTACTATAGAATGTCACCTCAAGGTAGGCCTAGTGGCGTCATCTCTTGG